ATTGCACAAAGGGTTTACAAGCTAACATGCCCATTTACGTGTACAGTGCATCCTAATTACAGTCGCCCTTCCCATCACTTCCTCTCCTGGCACCAACTGCCCCTCATCCCACCGGTCACACCAAGCTTCCACTTCCTTTGTCACAGGTTGGCGTTTAGTATTACAGTTGTGTTTGTCCCTTCACCACCTTCTCCCCTAACCCCCACCCCACTCAAAACATATTTCAGCTTCCTGATTCTCATTTTGTGAAAGTTTCTGTCTGCTGTCTGGGCCTGAGCGCTGTCCCTGGGCTCTTCAGCTCAAGCCTAGCACTCTACCACTTGAGCCACAGCACCACTTCCAGCTTTTTCTGCTTATGTGGGGCTGAGGAATCGAACCCAGGGCCTCATGCATGCAAGGCAAGCACTCTACCACTGAGCCACCTTCCCAGCCCTCTAGGGAGGATCTTACCACTTACAAAGTCAAGTATGCAGCTCTGTTTCTACAAAAGTGTCTCTCATTTAATAAAGTCTGTCGTATCTTCTCATAAGGACCTTTTTTTGTTCCATACTCTTTGGAGCAAGCTTTACTCTTTACTTCACCTAGCAAAGATGCTAGTAAATGAAATCGTTTTAAATTCTGGCGGGAAATGAATTAGATCATTTTTTGCTCATTTTGTTCATTTGGATTCACTTAAAGGTTGACTGAATTAGCACCAAAAATTATTTTTGATGGTTCTGGGGTATGAACTCAGAGCATAATGGCTTGTTAAACAGGAGCTTAACTACTCGAGCCATCCCTCTTGCTCAAAATTTAAAATAGTTTGATTGCTACATTTATTCTTTCAATGATTTAAGATCACTTTGTGAATTTCAGTGATTGTCGCTTATGATGATATCCCTGGGCCCTGTTGGAGTTTGTAGGACTATTTTCCTATTCCTGTTAGTTCAATTAAATATTTAGGGATTACTTGCTTGACTCGCCTTCTCATACTCAATGGAGACAACAGACATGAGTGAGATTTCAGACAAAATAGTTCAGTGGGAAAGTGTTACATTGAAAATATAAAGGTGCTTTGCTCATTGGAGTAAGACTATTGGTAGGAAAAAGAAAACCTGCATGGTACATAATATTAATAAGGAGACCACAGGTATAGATGGGGAAGTAGGGATGGAAACAGATAATTGCTTTGCTACTATATGGTAAGTACCAGAATAGAAATAAACAGGAAGCAATGGGACCAAGTTAAAGAGAATGAATGTTCTAGAATGGATAGAGGGATCATCACATCAAGTGAACAAAGTGACCTAGCATCAGGAATGGGCTGAGTAAAGTTCTGAAAATGGGTTAAGTGTTTCAGGAATGGCAATTACTTAAGTGGAAAGAACATAGCAGTAAAGAGGAAAAAGTTGAGATGTAAATCAGAGGTTGGGGTGGGCTAGTCAAGGCAGTTACGTATGCTGTAGGGAGCTAGAACTTTATTTCTACACAGTGACCTACAGCAGGGGCATGGTATGAGTAGACATTTTATAAATTCTACTAGTATTGTACAGAATGATTAAATGTAATTTTATGACACTTTGATCATTCATCTTCCATTTTTGTTATTTTTTGCCATACTTAAACTTGCTTCTGGGCAAATGAGCCAGACCAGTAGGAAGAAAACAAGAGACAGATTGAATTTCTTACACATATAATGACCATCTTTTTTTGTTATCTGTGGCTTCTTTTATGGTTTGAAAGATCCTTTCTTGTTAACAGTTTGCCATTTTACATTGATGGTATTCTCCTTGCCAAAGTAGGCCCTTTTCCTCTTCCTTTCTAATATCTAGCCAACTAAAAGATTCAAACAAACAAGCATGGGTTTGACCATGAGTTCCACACAAAATCTTCATGGAGTTGGTTTGGATACAACCATCTATGTTACCTAATGTGTTTCTGATTCTTATCTTAATGTAGATCTTTATGACTGAGCTGTACAACAACTTTAAATGAGTGAAATATAACCATAATTTGCTTCAAGGATCATTGCCACTCATTTTAAATTTATTTCAATGTAGGTGATTGGCGTTGTGCTTCAAAAATTTCAGCAGTTCAACAGTATTTTATCTGTCAACAGTAAGCTCTTTACTTGATTGCACCATGAAAAAGCTGCTAAAGAGACTTGTTGAGCACAAAAGTGGACTTGAAGAACCAGAAGCCATTGTTTTCAAATGAAGAATCTTGAATAGTTTTCAGCCTCAATGCTTTTCAATCAGCACTGAGATTTCGCCCATAACATCAGAATGGCGAGCAGGCGAAAGTCAACAACACCTTGCATGGTCCTGGCTAGTGAACAGGATCCAGATCTTGAGTTGATATCAGATTTGGATGAAGGTCCTCCAGTACTTACACCTGTGGAAAATGCCAGAGCAGAGAGTATCTCAAGTGATGAAGAAGTTCATGAGTCTGTGGATTCCGACAATCAGCAAAATAAAAAAGTTGAAGGTGGCTATGAATGTAAATATTGTAGTTTCCAAACTCCAGATTTAAATATGTTTACTTTTCATGTGGATTCAGAACATCCCAATGTAGTACTAAATTCATCTTATGTTTGTGTTGAATGCAATTTTCTTACCAAAAGGTATGATGCACTTTCTGAGCATAATATGAAATATCACCCAGGAGAAGAGAATTTCAAGTTGACAATGGTGAAACGTAACAACCAGACAATCTTTGAACAAACAATAAATGATCTGACCTTTGATGGTAGTTTTGTTAAAGAAGAAAATGCAGAACAAGCAGAGGCCATAGAAGTTTCTTCTTCAGGAATCTCTATCAGTAAAACACCTATCATGAAAATGATGAAAAATAAAGTAGAAAACAAACGGATTACAGTCCATCATAACTCATCTGAGGACACCCCTGAGGAGAAAGAAAATGAAATCAAACCAGACAGGGAAGAAAAGGTAGAAAATGCAAATTCTTCAGCTCCAGAATCTAACACCAGTACTTCCGTTGTAAACAGAATACATGCAAATACTGGCAACACAGTGGTGACCCCCGCAGCAGTTCTTCCTGGGCTATCACAAGTCATAACCGCCGTGTCTGCTCAGCAGAACTCAAACCTGATTCCCAAAGTCTTAATCCCTGTTAATAGCATTCCTGCCTACAATGCTGCACTGGACAACAATCCTCTCCTACTGAACACCTACAACAAATTCCCTTATCCAACAATGTCAGAGATTACCGTTCTTTCGGCTCAAGCAAAATATACAGAGGAGCAGATCAAGATATGGTTTTCAGCTCAACGCCTAAAACATGGTGTTAGTTGGACTCCTGAAGAAGTAGAGGAGGCGAGAAGAAAGCAATTCAATGGGACAGTGCATACTGTACCTCAGACCATAACTGTCATCCCGACCCACATTTCCACAGGGAATAATGGTTTACCATCTATTTTACAGACGTGTCAAATAGTTGGTCAGCCGGGTCTGGTCCTTACTCAAGTAGCTGGAACAAACAGCTTGCCAGTAACAGCACCCATAGCCTTGACAGTGGCAGGGGTTCCAAATCAAACAAGTGTCCAGAAAAGCCAAGTCCCTGCTGCTCAGCCTGCTGCAGAAACAAAGCCGGCCAGTGCAGCACTTCCACCCCCCCAGAATGCCAAACCCGAAACTACGCTGGCAAACCCCGATTCATTTGGTATTCGGGCAAAAAAGACAAAAGAGCAACTAGCAGAACTAAAGGTTAGCTACCTTAAAAGTCAGTTTCCCCATGACTCAGAAATTATCAGACTCATGAAAATAACAGGGCTCACAAAAGGTGAGATTAAAAAATGGTTTAGCGACACAAGGTACAACCAGAGAAACTCAAAGAGTAACCAGTGCTTACATCTCAACAGTGATTCCTCAGCCACCATTATCATAGACTCCAGTGATGAGACCACAGAGCCCCCACCTGTGGCGACCTCGCAGCCTAAACAATCCTGGAATCCCTTTCCCGACTTCACGCCCCAGAAGTTTAAAGAAAAAACCGCAGAACAACTTCGGGTCCTTCAGGCAAGTTTTCTCAACAGCTCCACACTTACAGAAGAAGAATTAAATAGGTTAAGAGCACAAACCAAACTTACGAGAAGAGAAATTGATGCTTGGTTTACAGAGAAGAAGAAATCAAAAGCTTTAAAGGAAGAGAAAGTAGAAATAGATGAAAGCAATGCAGGTAGTTCCAAAGAAGAAGCTGGGGAAACTTCTCCCCAAGAAGAATCGATCACCCCCAAGTCAGGGAGTACGGGCAAGATATGCAAGAAAACCCCTGAGCAGTTGCACTTGCTTAAAAGTGCGTTTGTTCGAACACAGTGGCCATCACCTGAAGAGTACGACAAGTTGGCGGAAGAAAGTGGACTTGCCAGGACAGACATTGTTAGTTGGTTTGGCGACACCCGTTACGCGTGGAAAAACGGAAACCTGAAGTGGTACTACTACTATCAAAGTGCCAGTTCAGGCAGAATGAATGGTCTATCTTCCCTTAGGAAAAGAGGGAGAGGGAGACCCAAAGGCCGTGGAAGAGGAAGACCTCGGGGGCGACCCAGAGGCGGCAAAAGAATTAACAACTGGGACCGGGCACCGTCATTGATAAAATTTAAAACTGGAACTGCCATACTTAAGGATTATTACCTGAAGCACAAATTTCTTAATGAGCAAGACCTGGATGAACTTGTCAACAGATCACACATGGGCTACGAGCAGGTTAGAGAGTGGTTTGCAGAAAGACAGAGACGATCCGAGTTAGGTTTAGAATTATTTGAGGAAAACGAGGAGGAAGAGGAAGTTGTTGAAGATCAGGAAGAGGATGAAGAAGAGACAGATGATAGTGATACTTGGGAACCCCCACGACATGTGAAGCGGAAGCTTTCTAAATCGGATGACTGAAGTGTGTAAGTGTTCACCTGAGTGTGTTATAACTGTGTAAAGTACCTTATTGGATAACGTGTTTTCTAAAATACTTTTCCGTAATAAGAGGACTGGATGTCATTAGGCTAGCCAAGACATATATGAGTGATGATCAGGTGTAGTTTGATTATCATATAGAGTTTTAATATTGCTTTAATGACTAATGTTGCTTTTTTTCTTAAGTACCAGTCCTGGAACTTGAAATCGGGGTCTGGATGCTGTCCCTGAGCTTTTTTGCTCAAGGTGAGCACACTCTGTCACTTGAGCCACTTCTGTTTTTTTGATGGTTAATTGAAGATCAGAGTTACACAGACTTTTCGGTCCAGTTGGCTTCAAACCTTGATTCTCAGATCTCAGTCTCCTGAGTAGATAGTCTTACAGGCATGAGCCTTTGGCACCAGGCATTTTTTTTAATGTAAAATAATCTTCAGGGTTGGGAATGTGCCTTAGTGGTAGAGTGCTTGCCTAGCATGTGTGAAACCCTGGGTTTGAGTCCTCAGTACCACATAAACAGAAAAAGTTTGAAGTGACGCTTTAGCTCAAGTGGCAGAGGGCTAGCCTTGAGCAAAAGAAGCTCAGGGACAGTGCGCAAGCCCTGAGTTCAAGTCCCAGGACTGGCAAAAAATTTTTTTTCAGTTTGTTTCAAAGAAAAGTTATTCACCTGTAAGATAGGAGACAGGGAATTAAACACTGAAGGTAAATGAAATGTAGTTCTTGTGACCTTCCCTTCATTAAAGCTTTATTTTTTTTTCTATTTAAGGAAAGGATTCAAAAACTAAAACTAAAAAGAAGGGGAAAAGTATAGTGAAGGAAGGAGACTTACTACAGGGTGAGGATTGTTCAATGTCAGGAAACTAGGGCAAACAAGTACAGTTTTTTTTTCATTATATTGTCTCAAAAGTATTCAATTTTTGGACTGGGAAGGTGGCTCAGTGGTAGAGTGCTTGCCTTGCATGCCTGAGGCCCTGGGTTCGATTCCTCAGCACCACATAAGCAAAGAGAAAAATGCCGGAAGTGGCGCTGTGGCTCAAGTGGTAGAGCGCTAGCCTTGAGCTGAAGAGCTGAGGGACAGTGCCCAGGCCCAGAGTTCAGGCCCCACGACTGGACCCCCTCCCCCCAAAAAAAGATATATTTTCATTCATTGATATAAAATAACTGTGTTCCCAGTACAAATACTATGTTTGGTTAAAAAAATAAATCTCTGGCCAGGTGCAGTAGTACGTACTTATAACCCCAGCAGTTTGTAGGAATAGACAGAAGATGGGGAGTTATGATCAGTCTGGACTACATGGTGAGACTCTCTCAAATCAAAATAAATGAATAGCCTTAAAAGTGGAAACAAGGCCGGGCGCTGGTGGCTCACACCTGTAATCCTAGCTACTCAGGAGGCTGAGATCTGAGGATTGCGGTTCAAAGCCAGCCCGGGCAGGAGAGACCGTGAGACTCCTATCTCCAATAAACCACCAGAAAACCGGAAGTGGCGCTGTAGCTCAAGTGGTAGAGCGCTCGCCTTGAGCTGAAGAGCTGAGGGACAGCGCCCAGGCCCAGAGTTCAAGCCCCACGAAAAAAAAAAAAAAAAAGTGGAAACAAATGTAGAATAAATATGTAAGGTTTTATTATGATCCTTAATACATTACACATTAGATTAATCAAAATTTAAGGTTTAGCCAGGCACCTGTGACTCATGCCTGCAATCTTAGCTACTCAGGAGGCTGAAATCTAAAGATTGTGGTGTGAAGCCAGGAAAGTTTGTGAGTCTCTTATCTCCAATAAAGTACCAAAAAAAACCCAAAAAACAAAAAACAGAACTGAAGCTGTGGCTTAAGAGGTAAAGTTCTAGCCTTGAGTATAAAAACTCAGGGACAGTGTCTAGGACCTGAGTTCAAACTCCAGAACAGGCACGTGTGCGCGTGTGTGTACACACACACACACACACACACTAGGACCTGAGTTCAAACTCCAGAACAGGCACGTGCGTGCGTGTGTGTACACACATACACACACACACACACACACACACACACACTATAATTGTAAATCTGTTACCTGGTTTGGAGTTAAGACTTCAGTCCTTAATACTTTTGAACCCAGGAACAGGTTTTATTCTTTTCTGTTTTGTATTTGGGATAAAAGCACATGGTTTTGCAGACAACAAAGTTTTCATGAAATTTGTGTGTGTGTGTGTGGGCTGAATAACATTATGGTGGCAGAAGTTAGTGCAGGTAGGGAGGAAATGAAGAATAGACCTTCATGATTATTACATATAAGCATACTTATTTCCTCTTCTTCCTACATCTGTCACCCATTGTTCAGTTCTTAGGTTCTCTTACTCTACATAATATTAACTTAATTCCTCCATATCTTTCCTCTGACTTGTTTATTTTAACAATTATTTACAGAGATCTTAATATGTGCTAGGTGATATTCTTCTTAGCTAACATTTTTGGGAAGAACAACAGATGAACTAAAATGTACCTATTTTAATAAGTGGTACAAATCTCATCTTAAGTTATAAAGCATAATATAATCATTGTAAGTCACAAAAAGCCAAATGGTTTTTTACAGTTTTATCCTGAAGTCCCAACTGTCTACCTCCTCATGTCAGCAAACTTCAGGACAGGCGTTGTTCTGACCCAAATGCATAAGATATTTTTTAACAGGCCTTTTTTAAATTTTTATTGCTAAACACAAGAATGCACACTCAGCTAAGATTAAATCAACAAATTTGTTTCTGCAGTGAATTGCTGTTACAACCTCTGCAGTGATTTTCTGGGGAATTGTAAACTTCTATAAAAATAAGGTGAACTTTTCTGTATAGTGTACTAGAAACTTAAATTTAGAGGATAATTCTTGTGTTTATATTAACACTCTTATGGATACCAATTACAGGAAAAAAATTCACATAAATCTTCAGCTTTTAAAAGATGGTGTTTTAGCCTAACCTGATTCCAGGCTAGCCCAGGCAGAAAGCTCACCTGATACCTTCTTAACTATTAGCTGCTGGGGCAGTGTTACACAGCTATCATCCCAGCTATGTAGGAGGCTAAGATTTGGTGGGTCTCAGTTCCTGGCCAGCCTGGGAAAAAAGTATATGAACCTTTTGTCTCAACAGAAGTGGAGTCGTGGCACACGCTTCTCACCCCCGCTATTTCAGAAAGCATAAAATAAGATGATCGCAGTCCAAGCATGCACACTAGGCCAAAAGGGAAGCCCTGTCTCAAAATAACCAGTTCCAACAAAGTCTGAAAGCATGGCTACGCAGCAGCACACTTGCCACACAAGCAGGAGGCCCTGCGTTCAGAGTCTCACACACACTACCAAAACAACCCAAAACAGTGTAGGTTTATTCATGTACTTTTTTGGTAAATATAGAAGGTTTTAAACAAGAGCCTAAAATTGTAAATATTAATTAGTATGTCATTGTTGCAATAAAATACTTTTTCACTTATAGAGAATTCATCATAGATTTCCTCCAAGCTTTTTTTCTTCATTTAAAATAGGGTTCAATTTACAAAATTACCAAAATCTTTCTAAAGTAGCCACTGTACTAAGTGGAGGCACATACATCTTTAACACATATATCTTTTGCACATGCCAACCTAGTATAGAAACATTTTGTAATTTGATAATTACAAATACTGACAATGGAATATATATTTCTTACTAATAATTTTTTGTAAACAATTCCAGAAAGGTGATAAATGTCTGTAAGCAAATCATATACACAAAGTCTAGTGAGATGTATGTGGTAGGTGATCACAGTGTCAGTAAGAAAACAAGATGTGTTGTTATTGGTAATTTGTATCATTTTTGCTCTTAAAAGTAGTAAAAAGTAAAAAATAGTTTTCTTTAAGTTTCAGCTTTTTATGATGTTTTTCTTTTATAGCTGCTTAAAATGTTGAAGGAGAATTAATTCTTCAACTCAAGATGTCTGAGTTACTGTGAATGGGGCCAATCTTTGGTGACACTGAGAAATGTTACAAGGCATACGCACTCTGAAAAAAAACAGGATCCAGTATCCAAAAGAAATGGACTTAATGTGCCAAAGTTAAACTACTGCAGTTGGCGGAAGTTCTGCAATGTAAATAGAACACTAATGAAAAAACAACTTGTAAAAATTCAGATTTTAGTACAGTTCGTTTTTATTCTGCTAGGATGGAAACATTCTGAATCTTCAACTTTCTGAAGGGGGTTGATGACCACTAGCACTTCTCATTTTCAGTGCAGCTTACTGCTTTGTGTCTAGTTAAGACAGGCTGGACTGCCCACATTCTTCCATATATGATGAAGCTTGGAGCTTTTGAGTGACCAAACATTTTACAGAGTAAAAATTACTTAGAAATGGGAGAGAAAAAAATGCTGATTTATTTCTGTGAATTATTTATTTGTCTCTGCACCAAGACTAAAAGTTGTACAAGGGCTTAAAAAATTTCAAGTGTAAAAATATACACATACTGGAAGAGAAAGATTTGTGGTATCACTGGCCCTTAAGGATTAGATCTTCCATTAAGCACACTCATGGGGACCACTATTTCTACTTAGAATATGTGATTTTTGTCATTAGATGCGAATTTGCTTTGTACTAAGCTAAAAATGCCGAAGAAGTAAAAAAAACTGGTGTAAGTTGAATAGAGTGAAATACCATGCCAAAAAATGTGAAAAAGAATCATGTAGTAAAATACTTGGAGGGGGATGGCTTTTTTTTTTTTTTTACAATCATGTGGAAATCAGGAATGTTCATATTGGATCAGAATTTTCAAGAAATTACCTTTCAGTGGAATTCCACCTTGTGTAACACTTTCAGGGATTAGAGGGAAAAAAAATTCTGAACTGATCCCAATGAGTTAAAAGTTAGCTTTTTACTTAGAATCATGGGAATGCTGTGAACTCTTGCTGTTATCAGGAGACTGAAGGTTCACAGGAACTTACAACTTTGTAAAGACAGGTGCTGTTCATCCCCGGTAAGAAGGACCTTCTCCTTTCATAGGACCACTTTGCATAATGGGCTTTCTTCATAGAGGAAATGTTCAGATTCATTAGCTTTGAATTTTTAAAATGTTTTTCTGAATGATCACATGTAGTGGGCTTGGCCAGTTTATCTAATTTAATGAATAATAAACATTAAGCTCTTGGTTAAATGTCAGCTAATGAAAATGTTATGAAAAAGCATGCTGCTTTCATTTTTATAAACTTTTTATTTTTTAACGATAGCTTTATTAGTAACTCCAAATGCTGCAATTTAGCTGATTCTTCCCTCAGACAGCTGGCTTTGTGGGTGGCTTTTTTCATACTACTGGTAACTTTTTTAAAAGAAGCAATGTAAAGACTGTAACAATTGAATGCACTAAACTGTTTTTTTCTTTTATATATTCAGAACTTCTTAAAGCACTCTGTATTATAATGATTAAATTGCTCCCTTTTTTAAAACCATTGCTGATGTGGTCTGAGTTTTGTTTGGCAGTAATTTTTATGTTTTCAAAAATCTGAAATGTCAAGTATTAGAAATGAAGCCTTTGAATATATTTATATTATGTTTCCCTTGTAATATGTTAACTGTATAGCTGTAAACAACTACTAATACAACTTCCCATCACTTTTATAGGTTTGATGAAATTCTGCTCTGATGTTCGCTAGCTTTAAATATATTTATTTGACAGAGCAACAGAACCTTTCCCTCCTGGTTGACTGTGACCTTGAATACAAAATAAAAGCAGTGATGAGTAGTTTTCAGTGATTTGTTTTCATCTTTAACTGAGTCGATTTTTTTAATGGTGGTAAAATATACATAAAATTGACAATTACACTCATTTTGAAAAATGTCCAGTTTAAGCAGGGCTATGGTAACAATTCAGAAGCTGAGATCTGAGGATCGTGGTTCAAAGCCAGCCCAGGCAAGAAAGTCTCAAAGACTCTTATCTCTAATTAGCCACTAAAAAAGCTGGAAATGGAGCTGTGGCTCAAGTGGTAGAGCTCGATCTGTGAGCAAAAATAGCTCGGAGACAATGCCCAGGCCCTGAGTTCAAACCCCAGGACCAGCACTCACAAAACATGTACAGTTTAATGGCTTTAAATTATATTCACAGCGTTGCACAACCATCACTTTTAAAAACATTGCATCACCCCAAACAGAAACTTGTATCCATGAAGCAATAACACACCATTTCCTCTAGCTCCTGCTAAACTCTAATATACTTCTTGTCTTTATGAAGTTGCCTGTTATTGATATTTCAAATAAGTGGGATCAAACAGTATGTGTCACTTAACACTGTTTTCAAGTTCATCCATATACATATATATACATATGGAGCTATCTATCTATCTATATGGAGGGAGAGACCACGTTTTGTTTCTCCACTCATCTGATAGACACCTGGGATGTTTCCACCTTACTGTGAATATTGCTGCAGCATGGAGACATGCAGTTATCTGTACGAGCCCACGTTTTCAGTTCTCTTTTTTTTTTTTTTTGTTGGTTGTGGGGCTTGAACTCTGGGCCTGGGCGCTGTCCCTCAGCTCTTCAGCTCAAGGCGAGCGCTCTACCACTTGAGC